GGTGGCCCCTAAACTTCCCTATGCAGCACAAAATAATAGTGAACTGGTATGGGGAAACAGTTCTGTGTTTTTTTGGGGGGGAGGGGGACAAAAATATCATGTACTTCTGCAGCATTATCAACATTCCTCATATTTGGGAGCAGTTTACAGCTGTACAGATTCTAGAATGGATCTAAACAAACAAACAAGACCTCATCACACATAATCAAAATCACACTACTGCACAAAGTTTTCCTCAGCGCTCTGCAATCATACTTCACTCCCTTGGAAATCAGTTATGCACAACAAACTTCCAGTGGATTGGGACCATTAGGTTGTCTCCAGTGTTGGTCCTACTTAGAGTAGACCCATAGAACTGAGGGGCCTAATTTAGTCATGCACTTTAATTACAGTGGGCCTAGGATTAACATTCGCTACAACCGAATGGTTTGAGACAACTTTTTCTTTAGGCAACAACCTATCAACCAAAAGTTAAGAATGCACATTATTTTATCACCAATCTATAGCTGGCAATGGTTGCCTGTCACAAAGCTTATAACACTACAGCTTTTTTATTTTTTTTAAAAACAGCAAATATTATATTAAAAATGGAGGGGGTGACTGCTTGTAATTGCTCATAGTAATTTATTTCATATATTCTGCCCAGTGCTCTTTTTAAATTATTTATGTGATGTTTCTAAGCTTGCATTTTACTAATTTCCTGTTGCCAATGTGGTATTTAGCATCTAATTTTCAATTGCTGCTATGGCATTTGGCATCAAGTTCTAATAAAGCTACTGGAGAAGCACACATTGAACTTAATAGGCTTTAGCATGGTTCCCAAGTTGTTCAAATGAGATGACTTATCTTGCACATTAAGTACCTCCTGTTCATTTATCATAATGCCATTGATTTTATGTCTAGACAGCCTCCCATTCTTCAACAAAATAAAAATTACCTCATCTGACTTAATATTTCACCGTAATATTGATGATGCATACTTCCAGTGTTCATAATCCTGCTGCCACAAGTTGACAAAATAGCAAGGGAAAACTACAATATATAGTGTATTGCTTACTTACAAATATGCCATTAGGTTTATAAAACTAACCAAAAGCAGTGTCAAAACTTTTTTAAAAAGTCAGTGGATATATCTGCATTCTATTTTTATTTTCTAACTTTTATAGCCCACATTTCTTCTGTCACAGAACCCAAGGCAGCATGCATGCATTCCTAGGTGGTCTCCTATCCAGGTAGTGGCCAGCACCAAACCTTCATACCTTCAGCAAGGTGGTAGACAACATGGCATCCTTCACATGTTGTGGACTACACCTCTCATCACCCATGATCACTGGTCAATGGTTGAGGGTGATGGGAGTTGTAGTCATGGGCATAGCCAGGATTTGGGGGATCCACCAAAGTTGTTGAGCTTTCTTTGATGTGACAGTCAATGAGTGGTACATTTTCATCGGCCAAGATGTACTATTTTAGATAATTGTTGGTGTACAGCAGTCGGTATACCCCCATGTGCACGTACCAAGGAAGAGGGAAGAGAACACTATTGTGACTTGGGATGGTCCCTTTTTGTGTACGCAACTGTGTTTATACTAGGAGAGATTACAGCTTTTGATATGAGACAGAAACCCATTTTTGTTGTTCTGTAAAGGAGCTTGTACAGTGATGTGTGATGTGATGGTTAGGGTGTTGAACTAGGACCTGAGAGACCAGGGATCACATCCTTACTCAGCAATGAAACTCACCAGATGGCCTTGACCAGCCTAACCTACCTCATAGGGTTGTTGTGAGCAAAATATGGAGAAGAGGAGAGTCATGTATTCCACCTTGAGCTCCTCTGAGGAAAGGCAGGATATAAACAATGAAAAAACAAAACATATAGGTTAGTTGATCAGGAAGAATTCTGTTCTTTTGGGGGCAGGGGAACAGTAGTTTGATTTGTACCATACTTGCTATATTTGAGTTTGAACTTCATTTTCCCAGCTCATTACACTGACTGTGTTTTAATCATAGTGACTTAAATTTGATTATATCTTGAAAATTCTTGCATAGGTGAAAGAGATGGAGGAATTTCTGTTGTACTACATCTTTTATATTTCCATTCTTCCTGTTCCCGATCTATATAATGATGTTCAAATTGTTCTGTTATAGTGATGGATGTGATGAAGAAGCAAATTAGGTGCACAGGAACAAAGCCAGCTTTTAATGCCAGTTAAAAATTGGAGATGTACCAACAGAGATTACTGAGATGTACTAAATATTTAACACTACGGAGAAAGAAAGGGGTTTTATTCATTCACAAATTACTTTACAAAGACAGAGTTGTATCTGGAAATATTCCTAACACTGTCCATAATTTGCTGTCTTGTATGGGGAATGAAACGTAACTCACAACAGAAGAGATGTCTCATCTGCATGCAGAATCTTCTAGTAAAACAAAAAAAAGTAAAATTAACCAATATTTCTCCTGCCATTAAATAATCCAAGGGAAATACTGGAAACATATTTTGTTGCCTTCTTTAAATGGGAAAGATAGATTGCAAGCCACTAAAACAGTAGAAAATAAGAACAATCATATTTTGGAAGAGAACTGCCTTGCAGTGTAACATTAATACAGTGAAGCTGCTGTGTGAGACATCAACAATACTGTACTCAGAGCTCCCCCAACCCTGATAGCTGTGGGGCTTTTCTAACTTTTTTTTTCACAGGGAGGGAACACTTCTGGCTCTTGCTACATGAATGCTTATTAAATTGGATCCCTGCTGGATCAGAGCAAAAACCAGTCTAGTCCAGCATCCTTTTCTTACAGTGGCCAACCAGATGCCTATGGGAAGCATGCAAGCCTGTTTGACTACAATTTCCCACAAGTTGAACTAAGGTCCCATTGAAATCAATGAGACAAATTAGTCATGACTTAAGACCCGTTTATTGCGATGGGTATTAAGTTCAACTAACCTATAGCACAATCCTGTCTACTCAGAGATAAGCTCCACTGAGCTCTATTGGACATACTCCCAGATGAGTATGCCTGAGACCGCAGCCAATGTAGGTAGGTACGTGGGTATTTGCTTGCACCTATGTGTCGTTGGAAACAAGATAGCTTAAAATGAACAATTTTCCAGAAATATGTATAAAAGGATATGTATTTTTTGGTACTTCACGAGTCCAAACTGAAATTCAAGGCAGAACACAGTTTGCTTTAGTACTTTTCAGGGAAAACAGAAAATTACTGTTTTCTCTGAAGGGGAGAAATTGCATTTCCAAATGCTGCACTTCGGTAAATTCATTGAGCGTAACATTTTCTCACGTAACCTTAAGGTTGTCCATTTTCTTTCAGCTTTCAAATAATTGAACTAAGTGATAAAAAGTGAAATGCTAAAGGATGTTGAGCTTCTTTCTCTTCCCCCACCTCTATACTTCTTATGCTGTAACTAAAAATTATTTAAAGACTGTGGAATATGTCAGCTGAGAGAACATTTCTCGGAACATCTGTCTTACTGTCTATTGTACACAATAGCTAGCATCTGAAATGTTAAAACTTTATGGAATGGAACATTGCGGTTAGGCTATTGGCCTCACTGTAATGTCCATTCCTGGGGCACTATATCCAAGTGTTCTGTCTCACCAGGTTAGCTGCAATGCCCCAGTGGAGCTGTATGGTGGTTAAAGTGTTGAACTACAGCCTGAGAGGCCAGGATTCAAATCCCCACTCAGCTATGAAACTCATTGGGCACCCTTGGGCTGGTCACTGCCTCTCAGCTTAACCTACCTCGCAGGGTTATTGTGATGATAAAATGAAGAAGGGGGAAATCATGTACACTTCTTGAATGAGAGATGTGTGTGTGTGTGTGTTGTGTGTACATGTTTACACACCCACAAAATATCTGCAACTATGCCATCACATATATTTCTCTAATTTGACAAATGTTAGTGATTGTTCATCTTAAGAATATGGTCTGATTTATACATATGTTTGAAGTTGGTGGATTTTTGCCAAAGTCAGTATGACTTGAACCCAAACTTCACTCCCACTGATGGAAGCATCCTCTGAGCAGACAGAAGTTGGATTCTTTTGCTGATTTCCCCTCCTAGACCACAAGGTCCTATGAAAATATTATGTGACAGGTTGGAGGACCCTCCAGAACACTGGGAGCTGCATGGGAAAAGGGAAATTGGTGTGAGTTGCCTTGGTCACCCACTTCCACCAGTGAGATTTCTCCATCAAAAGGCCAGTGTGGGCAGAAGGAGCTCTTCTGTTTGCAGAGGGTGAAGTTTTGATTCAGCCCCAGTTGTTGTTCTCCAACTCCCATCAGCACTAGCCATCATGGCCAGTAGTCAGGGATTATGGGAACTGTAGTCCAGCGGCATCTGAAGTCCCAGAGATTCCTCATCCCGGATCTTGCATGAACTAATCAGGGTGACTGGGTATAGCAGATCTTGTCTAATTGCACTGACATGCATATGATGACCTGCAAACCTATTAGTGCACTATTTCTGAGGATGAACTTCAAATATCCATTATGATTTGCTAACCACATTTTTTTTGCTTATTTTTGTTTTACAGATTTTGGCCATTGTATCTATTTTGTTCATTGTGCTGTCCACCATTGCTTTGTCACTCAACACTCTACCTGAGCTTCAAGTAATTGATGAATTTGGACAACTAAATGACAACCCCCAGCTAGCACATGTAGAAGCTGTGTGTATAGCTTGGTTCACTATGGAGTACCTTTTGCGTTTCCTGTCATCTCCAAACAAGTGGAAGTTCTTCAAAGGTCCATTAAATGTGATTGACTTGCTGGCCATTTTACCCTACTATGTCACCATTTTCCTCACAGAATCCAACAAAAGTGTGCTGCAGTTCCAAAATGTCCGCCGTGTTGTTCAGATATTCCGTATTATGAGGATACTCAGGATCCTTAAACTTGCCAGACACTCGACAGGCCTTCAGTCTTTAGGATTCACACTCAGGAGGAGTTACAATGAATTGGGTTTATTGATATTATTTTTAGCAATGGGTATCATGATATTTTCCAGTCTTGTATTTTTTGCTGAGAAAGACGAAGATGCTACGAAGTTTACTAGTATCCCTGCATCATTTTGGTGGGCCACCATCACTATGACTACAGTAGGCTATGGTGATATATATCCTAAGACTTTACTAGGTAAAATTGTTGGAGGATTGTGTTGCATTGCTGGAGTGCTGGTAATTGCTCTACCTATTCCCATCATAGTCAACAATTTCTCTGAGTTTTATAAGGAGCAAAAACGGCAGGAGAAAGCCATTAAACGAAGGGAGGCACTTGAGCGAGCAAAAAGAAATGGAAGCATTGTCTCAATGAATCTAAAAGATGCCTTTGCCCGCAGCATGGAACTGATTGATGTAGCCGTGGATTCCGGTAAGACTGAGGAAGCAGCCAACTCCAAGGAAACCCCTGACGATAACCACTTATCTCCAAGCCGGTGGAAATGGGCCAGAAGGACAATGTCTGAAACAAGTTCTAACAAGTCCTTGGAGAATAAATATCAGGAAGTGAGCCAGCAAGATACCAACGAAAAGCTCAACAATATTGTCACAGCCTCCAGCCCCCAACACTTGAGTGCTCAGAAACTCGAAATGTTATACAATGAAATTACTAAAACTCAGTCTCAGCCTAATCTCAATGCCAACTACCAAGGCCCGTCAGCGAAACCTCCCTTATACGAGGAGGAAATTGAAATGGAAGAGGTTGTTGGGCAAGGAGAACCATCCATGTCAGGGCAAAGAGACATAGTGACGGACATGAGAAGCATTTCCAGCATTGATAGCTTTGCCAGCTGTGCAACCGATTTCACTGAGACAGATCGGTCTCCCTTGCCCCCATACTCTGGTTCTCACCTGCAGCTAAGGTTCCCACCTGACTCTGTCCATTTGGAAGACCAAAGAGCAAAGAGTTCTCAGTTTTTATCACACACCAAGGATAAAATGTTTGCCCCCAGAGACGTCACCTTTGAGTACTCCCCAGTTGATACAGCCATGAACATGGATGACGCTGGCTCCCAGTCTCTGCTTCATGGCCCTTTGCACTTTGACAGCTCCATGTTAAGTCCCAAAAGTTCTCTCAAAGGAAGCAATCCATTAAAAGCAAGGTCCCTTAAGGTTAATTTTAAGGAAAACAGAGGTGGCGCTCCACAAACGCCACCGAGCACTGCAAGGCCACTTCCAGTAACAACGGCAGCAGATTTCATGCAATCCACCCCTCCTCAGCATATCAGCACCATTCTCTTAGAAGAGAATTCACCACACGGCGACAGGCCCTTGCTGGGTGCTGATGCCTCCATGGTTTGCCAGAGCATTCCTAAGAAATCATCCCCTTCTCTGTTTCCAAAGCAAAAGCTTTTTACTTTCCCTTCCAAAGAGAGGAGAAGCTTCACCGAAATGGACACTGGAGAAGAAGAAGACTTCATGGAGATTCCTGGAATGACAAGACATGACAGAGAGCAGGATATCAAGACAAACTGCTACGGGGAAAAACACAAAGATGGGAACCATTTAACAGAAGAGCCTCGAGTCAGCTCTTCTTCCCCCAAAATCTTGGGGCAAAACTGTACACAAGACATTTACAGTGTCGGGGGGGATGTAAAAGGGGACAATAGCCAAGAAGGTCACAAAATGGAAAACCACTTGTTTCCCCCAGAAATCCATACAAATCCTGGAGAAACTGGCTACTGTCCCACACGGGAAACCAGCATGTGACTAGTCAGGAGAGCAATAATGACAAAAACTGATTTCTTAAAACCACAATTAGTAATGCCTATGAACTAAAACATGGGAAGCCTCAGAAGTAAAAAAAAATAAAATGTTATTTTTGCATGGCATGAAGAGTTGGTTAGTTTAAGTACTGTTTAATTTAAAAGTGGAAATCTGCTTTTTTTGTAACAAAAAAGGAGAAAAAATCAGTTAAAAAAATGATGCAAGAACAGTGAGTAAAATAAAGAGCTCTTTTAGGAGCCCATATTCTGCAACGTCTGACATTTTTGGTCCTTTCACTAATGATTGTAGATAAGTCTTTTTTTAAAAAAAATATTTTAACTTTTTTTGCTCTTGGTTATAATGAATTTTGGGAATTTGCACATGAAAGGATGAAATGCCGATGCATGTGTTCATAATGGTGTGAAACAAGGTGCTTTGAGCCTGCAAAATGCATACATTTGTAAATAGTTTGGGTTTGTGGGGAGATCTACAGTTATCAAGGATATGTGGAAAATACGTTTCCCGGGACACAGGTACTTCCTTCACAGTTTGCTGCCTGGAGGATTTGTACAGACTTATGTTGCAAAATTGCAACTTCTTCTTAAAGCATCTCACCTATCTTGCTTTCTGTTTAAAAGCTCATAAAGTATAAGCTGTTTGTTTAAGTGAATGACAGTGTTTTCTCATCTATCTGTGAAGTAAATCATAGCTCAAATTATTTTTATTTGCATAGATTTCACGGATAAATTTGCAAGTTTTGAGTAAAATTCTATTTAGACTGTGCAAGATTTAATGACCAGAAATTGAAAACTTGATATAAGAACTGCCAAAATCAAAACAAAGACAAGGACACCATTACGTTACATAATAAAATTATTTATATGGCAATAAAATGTGCCAAATGGCCATGAAAAAATGATTATTTTATATTTAAAAGTTCAAAAGTTTGTATTACAGTTACAATTGCTGTATGCACTATTTTTAATATCTTATTTTTTTAAATGAAGTTTTTGTGGTTGTAAGTTTGCTTCTAAAATCTCTTTAGGAGTGCTGTGGCTTTTGTCCACCACTTCTTTACCACTAGGCGCCCCAATTTTAGATAACTTATTAATTTCAGAATACCAACATGATTACACTTTCTTGAATCAACGGACAAGGATCGCTGCTTTATGAGCAAAGTTGGAAAACTCAGAGTAGGCAATCTTTTCATTGTGCCCAGCCTCTGCTTCAATTTTGCAAAAGTGGTGTTTTATACAGACTTTGCTGTGGGCAGTTTTGCTCTATCGGGTTTTTCATATCTAATTATTGCAATTAATTAACAAATTAACAAAATCATTTGAAACCTCTGTGGATTTCTTCTTCTTCATGCTCTTCCATCACATGCATTCTATGTTAATCAATAGGATAAAAGCTCTCCTGCAATAAGATAAAAAAGCATGTGAACGGAACTTTCCAAATTGTGTACCTTTTGCCCAAATTCCAATAATTTCAGTAGAATAATTATTTCTGTAAATTTAAAGAAGCTGTTCAATGCATTAAAAATATTTTCAAATCACAAAACAATATTGGACCTAATAAGCTTAATAATTTTAATTTTCTAATAAAAACAATATTATAATTTGGGGGGGAGAGTTCTTCAACATAAAACCTTACCCACTTACACTGATTTTACTCAGTGCAGACCACTTAAAATCCATGTTAGCTTCAACAGAATAATTTCTAATATAGCTGAGCAGAATTCAAAATTTCTCATATGCTCCCTTAAAGGAAATTTTCCTTTAATTTCCTTCCCTTTTTTCCTTTTTCCTTTTCCTTTTCCATTCTTTTTTCTATTTTGCTGCAACAGCTTTCAAAGAGAAAACTGGGCCTTATCCTGTCGCCCTCAGGTTTTACTTTTATAAGGAAATGTCACCATCATGTATTTAATATGTGTCTTTTGGACCAAATACCAAGCACAGCAAAAGTCATCTTTATTTTTTTCCAATTCTTAGACCCTTTTTAATACTTGCCTTTGTTTTTAAATACAGTATCTCCAGATATTTCTCTTAAGAATTAATAATGCAGTTAAATGTCATTTCTTAAAAAACAAAAAACAATGTCTGGTCATTAGGTCTCAAAATATGCATTTGTTCTTCATGGCTGTCCAGGTAATTATATTTCTGCATATGATTTAAGTTAATTATGTGGCATTCTGCTTAATCCTTTTCAATGACCTCCATTTTATTTTATGAACCTCCTTTGTTTATGTCTCTTGTTTTATTGATAGATATTCCCATTGACTGAGACTAAATGCTAACTAGCTTTTAAAAGACATTGCTCTGTAATTTCTGTACTTTTTTAACACCATGCTGCCCTATTTGATCTGTCTTCATAATGACAACCATATAAAGAACAAAACCAAAGGCTAAATGAAACCTTGGGCTTCGGTTGAAAATGGGAGGTTGGTCACTGATTTCAATGAAATCCTAGTTTCATTCATAATCCTTACCCAGGGAAAACACTTGTTGGCTACCATGACTGTTCTATCATGAGCTATAGGTGGAAGGATCCAAAGCTAAAATATGCTCTTTTCATATGTAATAAACTATTCCTATCTTCAGAGCCCTGCTGATGTACCATATGAGATACATGTTGATGTTCCTTCCCCTTGGCTAGTACTGGTTTCAGTCTACATATGTGTCAAGACTTTGGATTGTATCCGGTGTTAGCTATACTCAGAATAGACATTGAAATTAATGAACATGACTTAGCTTAGGTCCATTTATTTTATTGGGTCTATCCTGAATAAAACTTAGTTGGATACAACTTTTTGTCTCCCAAGCTACGTCCATTAAACAATAATTTGGAAGCCCTTTGCTACTGGATACAAAAATGTTCTAAGCTTATCTGAATCTGACCTCACATATGTTGTTAGGAGTAATTCCATTTGTGCCACACACAAAAATGTTCATTAACACAAGAGCATGCCTTTGAGGTAAGCTCAAGAGCATGAACCTATTTTTGGATAGTGGAGAAAGAGAAGGTGTTTCATTTATTTTCATACATATGGGCCTCTATAAAGGGTAAGAAACATTGTGTCCTCTTCCTAAAATGGGTTTAAGAACCGAAGCTTTACTAAAGATAGCATACCATCCAGATAGCCTGTAAGCAACTATATGTTCTACACTTACTCTAGGGTAGCGAATGTGGTGCTCAAGTGATGTTGTTGGACTCCAACTCCCATCCACCCCTGTCAGTATTGTCAGTGGTCAGAGATTATGGGAACTCTAGTCCAGCAACATGCGGAGGGCACCAGGTTGGCTACCCTGATAGATTGTTCCTTTCTATCTTATGGAACAACAACATCTGGCATCACATTACCACTCCATGTTCATTATGGTTCTACAACATCAGATAAGTCATTGTTTGTACTTCAAAAGCAAACTCAAATTACAGGTAAAAAAAAAACAGTGGCACCTTAAAGACTAACAGATTTTTATTATGGCATCAACTTTGTGTCCTGACTAATGCATAGTTTTGGTAACAGCATTTCCAGTATTTGGTCACAGTAAACTTGGAAAGGAAAGGAAAGGAAATGGAAAACAACCCTCACACTACAGGAAGAAACACAGCAACAAGAGGGAGAAGGAAAGGCAGAGTACCTGTGAGTACCTAAGGCATGTTTAAAAACATACTACTGCTATGTTTAATTACCTGTTGCTTGTATAATAAGGTAACTATTGTCACAAAAGTCAATGTTAAGACTTTTGTTCCAACCCTATATTGCTTGCCCATCCACCACTATTCTTGAAACCAACATAAAAAATCCCATTCATTGCTGTTTGGGGATTGCCTGCTAAGACTGCCATCCTCTGGCTAGCTTCACCAACTGACTCCAAGTGTGATGTAGCCAGAAATGGTTGCATACTAAGAATTTAGCAAGGATGCTCTTCTAGCTATATGACATTATAAGATAACAGTATATTTTTTAGCAGTGCTAGTCTAGGGTTCTCTTCTGCCCCATTTTCCTAAAGGGGAGACAAATGTATTCAAATATGCTAACGGATATATTTAATAACCTGTGACTCTTTGCCACAAGTTTTCCAAAGCAACTCATTTCTCTCTACTCAGCTGATCACTGATTTGGCACTTGATCACTGATTTGGCTTTGTTCTGTGATAACTGGGAGGTGGTGTTGCTGGCAACTCACCAAGCCGAGTTCGGCTGTGTACAATTGATAAATAGCTTGTCAGAGACTTGGAAGCGTTACTGTTCAGCAAACATTGCCAGTGGTGGACACATTCACTTTTTGTGTCCCACTTTGATGTTCAAACCAAGTTTACACCTTTCTGTAGTGATATGTGATGTGCTTAATGCAGTTTAATACATAGATTTTCTCAGGGACAAAAAGAATTTGCACTGAATTATTCCAATTAAGCAAGCTGCAGAAGCTTGCTTGCATTACAGTCGTCTGCCTAAGCTCCATTGGGTTCAAGTTCAACTGCAGCCTTACAAAGCAATCCAGCCCCTCAAACCTGGCCTGCTGTGATGGAGAGAGTATGGATGTGGCAGAAGTGTCCCTCTGCTTGGCTCTGCTGGCAGCATCCTTCACCACCACAGATGTTCCCCCGGGACCTGCTGAAAGCACAGACAGGTAGATGCTACTACCTCAGGTATCCCTGCCAGTGGTAACTAGTAAAAACTCCTGAAATGGGACATTTCTGGGGAAGGGAGGGGTGAGAAAGGAATGGAGCTGGGTCAGCAAAGGATTTGCTGGATCCAAAACCAGTCCAGGTACCAGCAGTGGCTCTAATTTGGGCCTCTCTGCTATAGCAGAGCTGGGGGAGGAATTGCCCTCACTTTTCACCCAGGACAGCATGAGAGGCAGGTGCTTTGAATGTGGCGGCTCCTCTCCTTCCAGGAGGAAGTTAGAATGGTTCCCTTAGTGGGTTTCATGCTCTTAATTTGTTTTTGGAACAAGGCAGTGCAGATTTATTTCTTTATTTTAGCCCAGAAAGACTATACTTTGCAATTGTCTTGAGCACACTGCATATAAAAAAAAATCCTCCCAAAATCAGCACCCATTTGGCTTCCTTCCTTTTTTAGCCATTTCATGTTGGGATGCTGCCCACCTCCATTTCCTGCAGGTTTTCTGTAGCACAGGCTTCCTCAAACTCGGCCCTCCAGATGTTTTTGGCCTACAACTCCCACAATCCCTAGCTAGCAGGACCAGTGGTCAGGGATGATGGGAACTGTAGTCTCAAACCATCTGGAGGGCTGAGTTTGAGGAAGCCTGCTGTGGCACATCAAGCTGCAAAAGCCAAAGCAGGTGTACAGAAGTATGCCTGGCATTTTTGTAATAGCTGGAGGTTTGTTTCAATGTGCTGACGCCTAAAGGCTACTTGCTTGTATCCCCCCTATGTGCCTGAGCACTTTGGGGACTTTTGTTTAGGGATTTGACTTTTCCCATTCCTCTTTTACATATGCATAAGTATCAAGCTGCTAGTCTTTGGTCAAGCCCAGTGTCATAGCAGCAGTGAAACGGAAGTTCTTCCAGATAAACAAATATGTGCATGCCACCTTGGCAGCTCACTTACTATGAGAAATATCAGAAGAGCTGCACACACCCCTTTCCCACCTTTGCTTCTTAAAGCACAGCACAAACACACAGAGAGAAAGGTGCCCTGAGGATCAACAAATCCCTGGAATGTAATGCAAATCACATAACACACACACACACACACACACACACACACACACACACACACGACGTTCTTTCTGTTCATGCATGAATCTGTTTGGATCCTGGCCAATGCAGCCTCTCACCTTTATTATAACGAGTGAGCAATCTTCAAAGAGGACACAGTGGTTGGTCTAAGTGATTGCTCCGAGTGACACAGTGTAGCACTCAAAATACTGTTCATTAAGTGTCAAACTCTACTGAGACAGCAAGCAGTATTAGTTTGGAGGCAAGCACTTCTGTACACTCACATTATGTAACAAGGTGATCAGCCTTCCACAGTCTGGGGCCCTCCAGATGCTGTTGGACTCCCATCAGCCTTAGCCAGCATGGCCAATGGACAGGGATTATGGGAGTTGTAGTCCAAAAATATTATAGGCATAGGGCTGATCAAAATCCAACTCCACAGAAGCCGCAGCTGGCCATGAAAGCAAATGGGCTGCTGCTCTCTTGGAGCTGCTTCTGATTTATAATAAACAAGACCACAACCTGCCTGCAGAGTGTTTTCTGCCCATGTCTTAAATGTAAATGGCTACTACCTAAGTGGACAATGATGGAGAATCAGCTTCTCAACCATGTATATTTATGTCCTGAAAAAAGGTGTGGATAGGCTTTTCTCCATATTGGGTGTTACATGAAATTATTATTTATTTAATTTTCCCATTGTCTCCCTATATGTTCACTTCATCATGCTGCTTACACAGGGTGTTTCAGATTCGTTCTCACAAGGGATGGAGCCTTGGGTCCAGAGATTCCCACGTGAGGGCAGAAAGCGCTTCTGTTCAACTTAAGGCTGCTGTTTTGCTTTTGAGAGGGTCCCCCTGGAGTGGCTTCTCCAGAGCAAGCTACAGCCAGATGAAAAATCAGCACAGCCGTATGTCAGTGGAAACTCTTTCTGCTTGCACACAGGGACCTCTGAGTAAGCCAGCCCTCAAAAAGCAGTATCCAAAACCAAGCTGAAACTAAACGATCGGTTCATTTACTGTGGGTGCAGGCAAAGTGGTTTCCTGTCTGTCTAGGTCAGAGTATTGGAGAGAGAAAGAATTGCATCCCCACATCCCTGGGCGGAGGGCGGAGTTTTAGTGTTATTCCTCTATATATTCTCAGAGCTTTAGCCATGTTCATCATATGCAAGTCAGTGCCAGCCATGCAGATAAAAATCTAAACATTTAGAGATCAGTTTTCAGTAACAAACAGCACTCAGCACTTAGCCTGTTGCATTGAGATAACTGTAAATAACCACTCAATATGTACTGTTTCATGTTTATCAGTTAGATGTTATCTCCCATATTTGTTTCATATCTACAGTAGCATGGACTGAGTTTACTTAACAATGTTTTCTTCTATGGACTCTACAAATACTGTGGTGGGAGAGGGAAGCACAACAGTATTTTTAAAAATTGTACTGGCACAATAGCTGTGTCTTTACTATTGCTCAGTTTTCAACAAATGGCAGCATTTCACTGTAAACTGCTATACTAACAACATATTCTCCTTTTTAAAAAACAAAGCATCCTTTTGGGATAGGAGATATGTGCATATATGATAAGTCTCATCTAATCTCATTCATCTGCCTTTACAAAATGCCCCATCCAAAATGGGAGAGTCTGCTGCTTTTGTTGTATATATTACTTCTATTTTAGGGATGGAGCAGGACTGAAAATTACAGTGTTCTTGTAAGGGCATTTTGCAATGGTAACAGCATCATGCATGCTTTGTTGCATCTTTGTATTTACTAGAAATGTCTTGTTTTCACCTTTTATTTTTCTGTAGAGAGCATACCACTTTAACTCCCCACCCCCACCCCTCCGCTGTCCATCTTGCACCATTAATAGAACTTCACATATAATGGTATTCGTATCAATGTTTCCATATCAGCTGCATTTTAACATCATGAAAAGGAAATGTGGTTATTTTTATTTTTTGATTATACTAGTTTTTTGCTGATCAGCTAAATATTTCTGCACCAATCAGCATTTAAATATGCATGTGGTAGTCTGTATTGTACAGTTGTTCAACATCAAAATACTTGTTTATTTTCTGTCAAATGTCTGTAAAATGAATGGCATTGTTCTCCATTTCAGTCTGCCAGAATAAGCAGAATAGTCAATAAATGTGTAAATGAATCATCTGTGTCTCATTTCAGTTCTCTGCATGAAGCCACTTTACATTAAACATTACATACATACCAAAATGTCAATCCATAAGTGACTTTGGGTTTCATTTTGGGGGGAAATAAACTTAAAACTTATTGGAAGAAATATACAGGATGATGATAGGATAAGAAAGGGTGCTTTGCATTGCTCATACTTTGCTTCAATAGCTAATTCATTCTCTTACAAGGCATCTCAGCCCAATTCTCCTAGGTTATGTCTGCATGAGTAGCCCTCTTTTTTACTTCTCCGTTCCACTATAGATTGTCCCTTGTTGTATCTTGATTTTCTTCTATCGGTAGTTCCTGTCCTATACTGTTAGGTCTCACAAGTCTTAAATCAGTAACTTCAGGACGGGATCATTTCCCTTGCTCGCTGGTTCCACAGCAAACACTTGGCTAGGAAGATAACCCACTGATTGTCACTTCCACACCATATGTGTAAAGCACAAGCCTTCCCCCAAAGAATCCTGGGAACTGTGGCTTTTTAAGGGTGCTGGGAATTGCAGTTCTGTGCAGGGTAAACTTATGCACCGATTGGTTTGAAAGTAAAAAGACAGTCAGGTGCACTGTTGGCAGCCTCTCTACATTCCTGTGCACACAAGAAAGCCCATCTGTGGATATTATGGGATTTTCTGCAAATGCAGGCACTCAGGAAGGCTGCAGAGTGCAGACCACCGGAGGGATGATTTGCAGAATAAAATGAAGGATGCCCCCAAAGACTCCTTGTCAACTTTGAAAATAAGATAGGCACCCATCACCTGTGAGAATTTCACCAACATTTTCAATCTCCTCTTTGATTATTTTTTGAACACAATTTCTTTTTTCATAATTACTAAAGAATGTTTTTTTAAAAAAAAAAAGAGTAAAAAAAGCAAAGTCAGCACAGCACATTTTGTAGCTGTTCCCCAAGTAGCATTGATGTGATTTTCAGTTTCTGTGGTGTATTCCTGCTGCTAGACCCTTCCTTTCCCATTTGCCTGCTCCTTCCTGCATGGCTAGCTGCATTCTTCTGCTTGGTCTGACTCTTTAGAACACAAATATTTTTGCTTTACTTGGGAACACCGCTGACTTCCATCACTCCTAGGACTGCCTATGCAAGCAGTGGCAGACTTTGGGCTCTCAAATTTCAGCAGCGCCCTGTGCGATGCTAAAATTCAGTGCCCTCCTCATGCCTCTTGCACTCTGTTCTACATCATTCCGGTGGCGCCCCCTGCAGCATTGGCACACAGTGCAGCTGTCCTGGTCGCGCTACCCTAAAACCACTTCTGATGTAAGCTTTCCTCTTGGGATCTCACGCGCCATGTTTATCTGATTCATTCTCAAGAGTCTATAAGTGTGTATCTTATAGAAGGCTTCTGGTTGCCAGTACAAGAGCTCCTAAATCCTTCAGGGAAAGAGACACAGAATCTCCAAGTGTGGGGTAACAGGTTCAAGAGAAAGAGGCTTTCTAACCAGAGGGCAGCACATTCCAGTACAGAAGTGCAAGAAATGCATTTTCAGGATGACATAATATACACCCAACAGTAGAGAGCTGGATCATTTGGCATCATGGTATGACAGTGAAGGAGCTGTGGGGGAAATCAGTTTTTTTACAACAACAACAACATTTTTTAATGGCTCAAGTCCCTTTTTGGCATCATAGTGGTTGACATCATAGCAGTCAAAAGAAAAATGTTCAAACATCTTTTAAATTTTTTTTTAAAAAAATACAAATCACAGGGTTACTGCCCCTGTTATAGCACGTGTCCTATTATGTATTACAACTGCATTCTTTATAAGTAACTAATATAGTTGTCAGCTATGCAGATCACTAATATTCTTTCAATTTGTTTTATATTCTGGGACATTTTTCTCTTGAGAACACTGCACAGGGCAAAGGGTTATGCCCCCTCCTCCATGGTGCAGTCCAAATCCAGATTTGGGATGGGGGGGCATAGCTATTTAAAAAAAATAAAGATACAAAAATAATTATTGTAACACTAATTTGTCCCTGACTCCCATTTCCATAGGCAATAGTTTCTTCATTGTGTACAGCTGTATATACAAATAATTGAAACAGTTAAGTTCTTTATCTTAGTAATAAGTTCATAAAAAGTTAACAATTTGATTCCTGAAAACAGCCCAGAGTTGTCTTATCAGTAATAGCCAATTTTGCTGATTTGTTTCCTGCCTAGACAATCTTGGCTCAGGGCAAACAGCACTGCATCATGCCGACCTTGCTGTCACTTCCCCCTCTACCTCCTGGAAGTCAGTTGGGTGGCAGTGCCCCACCGTGCCATCTGCTACTGGTTCTGGTGGCTTTTCGCTCTCTATACCACCCCTCCTAATCACCAAAATATCCCTCCCCTCCCACACAGATACTTGTGAACAGAAGAATGGACTGCAAGGGGCAATTTCAGATCAGTGCTAAGGAGGAAAGTTTCACCACCTGCTTTTTCTCTACACACCATGTATAATTTTATTAAATTATTTCCTTCCATTTATCTTCTGTCATCAGCCAGAGGTGCACAAAGACACCAGGCAGTATTTATTTACAAATAAGATTTGCACACTGAGACATTCCCCCCACCTCCATTGACATAAAAGACCTTCACTTTGGCTGGACCATGCCCTTTCTCTTAAATTCCAGTGCTGTGACATCCTCTGATATTAGCATTTGCTCCAGTATCTCAATATTTTCAAAATCAATCCCCGGTACCTGCAAATGTCTTCTCTAACAGTCTGTATCTAGTCTTTGGCTCTTATAACTACCAAAAGGCCACCATTCCTTCCTTCATATCCTGTCAGTTGCATTCAAAGTGTCTTCAGGGGAGTTTGAATGTGCTTAGGAGTGGATGCAGCTTTCTTACAAACAGTCTTGCATTAACCGATATTTATTGTACTCCATTTAAAATAATGGACACACACACAAAAGAAAATGATTTTTGTAAGCATTAAAAGATCATTGAGCAATAGGAATGAGAACAATTGATCTGTAAATAAAACGTGAAGTGAGGCAGAATTCGAGACAGGAAGGAAACGTGACAAAATGAAGGAATCAGACAAAAGGAGCTTGGGGTGATTCTGACAGGGAAAATGGTAAGTGTGGAGGGATCAAGCACCATTGCCCTCTTCCCTGTTTTAAAGAGCTGATCAATGTTCAAAATATGCAGTAAGAGGGTCAAAACTAATTATATTTTCAGAATTTGGACAGTGTGATTTATTTCCATGACAGTGCAGAATTATTTGCTTATTAAATATCTACAGGACCCTTCCTTCTGAAAGAGCCCAGCGTGGCAAACATACGGTAACAAGATACAAATCAATTAAAACTGCTTAAAAGTATCTAAGTGCAATTCCAATAAAGATGAGGAAAGAGCTCATCCTAAAAGACTTGTTGAAAGAGCAGGTGCCAAAAAGGCAGCAGAGATGGCACCTCTCTAATATTTAAAAAGAAGGAATTTAAATGGTTGGTGCTAAAGGCCTCATTCCTATATTGTGCCGAACAGACCTCCTGTTAAGATGGCATCTCTGCAGAGCACAGTGATTAGCGTTTTCTTGCTACAAGCCCAAGCTCTAGCCAATGGGTTCGCAGCTGAAGTAAAATCAGTGTTTCACACCAATCCAGTTTAAGGTTTGCCATCCTCCAGAAATCATGCTTCAACCTATCTACACACCAAGCTTGGGCCAATTCAAATATAACATTCCCTTACCTATACAGTGGTGGCACACACTGATAGCAGGTTCTGGTGAGATCTCACATGATACCACCAAAATCTCACAAAATCTCTTCTTGTGAAATTTTGGTGAGATCTCATGAGATCTTGCCAGAAATCATCACTGATGCCAGTGCCACTTTTCCGACGGTGGCAGGGGGAGCAGGCAGGGTGCCCACAGGGAAGCACCCTCAGGAGCTTCTGCTGCCCAAGGTAGCTGCTTCACACTGTGTCAGGGGTGGGCTGGCCCTGAGCCTAGATATGATGGCATGGGCCATCCTTGATTGGATCTCCCAGAACTTCCCCTACCCCCCTTCAAACAACTGTTAGATTTTCATTGGAGAAGCCATGCTGGGAGAAAAAGGTGTTCAAACCACATTTCCACTCTAAATCAACTCCATCAGCTGCTATTGTCCTGATCAGAGAATGCACTTCGCTACACTAGAATTCTTATTGTGTCCAGAAGAGATTCATGGAGAATCTACTAGTCTCATTCATTTCTATTGATAGTGACTAGTGAAAGCTGAAATGGGATAATTTCTTTACAAAAAGAAGCATTGTGTTGGCAGATTTTTATTAGATTATACAACTAATCATGATAAGATTTTTATTGTTCTTATTAGATTTTACAACTAACAAAATATTTTTGTAAGGCATATCATTAAAGGTTGATGATGATGATGATGATGATGATGATGATTAACATGTACCCTGCCCATCTGACTGGGTTGCCCCAGCCGCTCTGGATGGCTTCCAGCAGAATATAGAAGAACACAACAAAACATCAGACATTAAAAGCCTCCCGATACAGGGCTGCCTTCAGATGTCTACAGAAGGTCGTATAATTGTTTATCTCTTTGATGTCTGATGGAAGGGCATTCCACAGGGTGATTCTAATCTTGTTATAAAGTGAAGACTTTCTGTTAATGACATAAATGTTTTACAAAGTAATCAAAGAGCAAATTTTCAAACGTATTACCGGTAATTGTCCTTTTATAAACAGCTGGTGTGCTTACCATTTTGTCAACTGGAGTAGGTTGGGTTTTAAATTGGCCAGCAAGTAATTCCCACTAGTCCGTATGTTTATTTTGCCAGTATCATCGATCAACAAAAATTCAGGTTCTGTGTGTGAAATTTTGGTGTATGTTCACTGTGTTTTATATTGAATCATTTTTTATATTTCACACCGTATCACTCTGGCAGTGCTACATTTCTATTTCATGGATTCAAATAAAGTACAGTAATTGAATGATTGACTGACTGACCACATCCTTGA